GGCGGCGGCGGAGGGATGATGACCCGTCGGAGCGGCTCGAGCAGCGGCTTACCCCGCCTGGAGCAGAGCGACGACGGGCGCACCTACTACTTCGGCGTGGAGGTGGGCGACTTCTGCCCCGACGAGCTGGCGGTGAAGGTGGACGGCCCCAAGCTGACGGTCTGCGGCCGGCGGGACCAGCGCAGCGAGGCTTCCGACGGCTGCATCTGCCACGAGGTCCGCGAGGTCCGCCGGGAGCTGCTCCTGCCCGACGACGCCGACCTGGAGGCGCTGACCTGCTGCTTGGCCCCCGACGCCGGACGGCTCCGCATCGAGGCGCCCCGCCTGGGATCCAGCCCCGCCTGGGAGCGCACCGTCCCCATCCCCATCTGCCGCAACGACGGCGCGGGCGGCAGCATGCAAGGGGGCGGCAGGAGCCCCTCGCCCGGCAGCCCCGAGAAAGCCTGCATGTGAACGGCCGCCCCGACGGGCTCCCAGTTTCGTTCGTTTCCATTGTTCGACGGGGGTGGGTGGGTTTCGTTGTAAGGAGGAAAAAAGGGGGGCGTTCGAGGAGGGGGGACTCAATCGGCGCGGCTGCAGGGGGGGAGAAGGCGGCGAGGGGGGAATTGTCTTCCCGACGTGGCGAGCGACCGGTTGGAAAAGTTTCGTTGAGTTTCTTTGAATAAAGTTGAGTTTTTCTGCATCCAAATTCCGTGTGGTTTAATTTCTCCATCGAATACAGAAAAGAGGAAGGGACCTTGCAGGTCATCTAGTCCACCCCTCCGCTCAAGCAGGAGACTCTACCAGGGGTGTCCCGACTTGATTTCAATCCCCAGAAATCCCAAACCAGCCGTGGTGCGTTAGCTTTTTAGGCGGCTTTCTAGAATAACAGTTGGAAGGGACCTCGTAGGTCATCTAGCCCAACCCCTCACCCAAGCAGGAGGATCTATACCAAGTGTGTCCACCTGTGGGGCACCTATGAATAATTCCCCAGCCAGCCATGTTGCATTGCCTTTTGAGGCAGCTTTAGAGAATAACTAGGAAGGGACCTGGTCATCTAGTCCACCCCTCAGCTCAAGCAGGCAAGGCTCTGCCAGAGGGATCCCACCATGAGAACTTAAGGACTTCAATTCCCAGAAGCCCCCAGCTAACCCTGCTGCATTGGCTTTTCAGGCAGCTTTACAGAACAAGAGTTGGAAGGGATCCGATAGGTCATCTAGTCCAACACCCCCCCCCCTTCAAGGAGATCCTGCACCAATTTTGACAGATGGCTGTCCAGTCTCTTATTGAAACCCCTCCAGGGATGAAGCTCCCACAACTCCTGGAGGCAAGTCCTTCCGCTGATTAGAATAACAGTTGGAA